ATTACAGAAAACATCACAACTCTTTGTAAAACTAACTAAGATTAATAATTTTTTATATTTCAGTTTTTAAATAATGCATAATCATTCATTAAGAGTACTCCTTATATAGAATACAAAAATAAATTTATTATAATAATATAAAAGCTATTTCGAACTCAACTAGATTTTATATTCATCTGCGATATATTCATATAAAATATCATAAAACACGTGAGTGTGAACTTAACATGTCTTAAATCATATTCACATTCAAGATTTATTTCGTATTGATTCATACTTTTGAAAGAAACTATGAATTTCAAAAGAATTGTCATACGATTAAATTTTTGCTCATCGTTATGGGTGTGGGTGTGGGTGAGGCTGAGAAGGAATGGAAGATTATCATACAGATCCACACCCACAGCCACTCACCGTCACTCCCACTCACACCTACGCCCAAGGATGGAGAGACAGTGGGCATCCTGACTATTCATTTATTGATAAATCATGAAAAAGAAAAACAAATCAAGTTCACAAATATACTTCAATTAGTAAAACTTCTCCTAATCATTACACTTTCTATCACATCTTCATTCGTCATCTTCGAATACTGATTCTCTGTATACATAGTTAGATCGAGAATCAAGAGTTATATTTGGTAGATAAGTTTCGAAATACACTTTCAATTTCTTCGTTTTTCCTCCAGTAACCAGATCACCCCTACCGTTAATGCTCATAAAATCTAATTTTTGGAATTGCTTCAGTAATTCTCCTTTATCTTGAAAGTTATTTGTACAAGTCTGGAGTGCGTCAAAATCAGCATGCAGTTCAACAATATTAGGGCATAACAGGAGTGTTCGTTTTAAATCTGAGTCTTTGGCATAATATGATACAACCTCTACACTTAACAATTGAACTTCTTCTTCTACTGGCATAGGTTGACTTCTGACGTAATCTTCTTTCTCTTTTCCAACTTCATCAAACTCATTGTGTCTTAGAATTAAGTCCGTCACACGTTTAAAATTCGTTGCGACGAACTTCATGAGTTCTAATGAGTACAGTCCATCATAACGGTCAACCGAAAAACATTTCACCTTATTAAACATGTCTGAGAGCTTTTGTGGTAAACATGTTGCCTTTAAGTGAAGAAAGTCGTTGGTCATACCAGGATCGAAACTGGCAAAACCATAAGGTAATGTAAATAAATAATATGTGTCTTTGATGGCATTCGGTTCCATGTAATAATGAGCCCGGCTCTCAACGGAGAACACTCCAACCTAAAAGTAATACAATTTGGATATATTATTCGATTAGGTCTAGGCGACTATTATGTATATTGACTAGAGATTCGCGAGACAGCCCCGAATTCCGAAAAATACCGTATGCCTCGTCCCACGGGACAAACAGATCGAAACAATATCGAATAAAATCGGAGTCTAGAATTTTTCTTTTATCCGTCTATTAAAACGTGTCTGAAACTCCAATTTCTTAAAATATCTCATATAAAATAATCAATGAAGCGTCAACTTATCTACTAATCGTGTAAATACCTGTATTTTTTTGGATGCTGGTGTTACTGGGAAGATGTATTGTCTTCGTTCGCAAATTAACATGGTTATATTTTTTCATCAGTGGAACAAACGAGATTTTCCAGGAGAACTGGAAGATTTTCAGAATGGGGTATTCAAGATCGAGAGAATAAAAAAGTTGGTCCTGCAGGTTTCTAGTACTGATGAATACAACTTCATTTATATGACTAAATGCAATTTCTAATACTATCAGAAATTTTTGCATTATTCTTGCACAAGGAAACATTAGCAATATGAAACATGGATTTGTATATATGAAAACTGTGAGGATAATAAAACTTTCTTAACAACGACCATGTTATTAACCCTAGATCGTTCTTCACAGAAACGTCAAAAAAGCCTTTTAACTTCTATTTCTTCTCGGAAATCAACGAGAGATTTCACAAGTATCGAGGAATTCAAGAAAGATGACTCAATCAAAATTCTTTTAGCTTCTACAATGTTTTTTTCAATGACTGTAATATCTAATCGAATTTTTTCTGTTCAAACTAAGCTGATGGTACTACGGCTATAATCAGTTTTCATCATTGAGTTCAGCATCTGAAATCTGTATCTGCAGAAACTGATCTTATGTTCTATCCAGTTCGCAGCCACAGCGGGGTACGGACGTCAAGAAGCCCGAATCTCACACTAGGGAAAGATTTCTCCGGATGGGGTATGGGAACGAGAATTTTGCTGAAGCAAAGTTTTTTTACAATGGTGTCCCTTATCTTAGAAAGTTAGGACCCTCTTGCAAAAATTCCTGGATACAGGCCTGGGTTTCACACAGTTTTATCCTACTTTTAGCGGTGCAGTTTGTTTAACTTACATTCCAATTATGTTCTCCCAGCCAGAAGTGGTTTTGAAATGTTGATATAATTCTGTCTAGGTCAACGACTTTAGTTGTGCCTGAACGTTTCATTTCAACACGTAAATCGAACTGAAATATTTGCAGTTTTGTCAGGTATTGTAATAATTCATTTTGAAGCGTATTGCCATCCAGTGGTGCATCATTATTCCGAAGGTGAACAGGAAAATCCAGAGATAAAAATTCTAATGATGTGCGTGTTTTTAATAGAGAAGCAATCAAATAGAAATCAGCACCCTGATAGGCGCCCAAGCTGAATTTCTTGAGAAGTGGAGTTGCTGCGGCTGTAGGTGTCGCTATACGGGAAGAGGAGGACATTTCTCTTCTCTGATTTATTTCGCAAGCAAAACTAACAATGTTTGGCAAATAGTTGAATAAGATGAACACATCATCTTCAGAGAACAGTTCGATATCCAGTGATGTTAGATTGTTAGCTGGACAAAATTTCTTTAACATGTTGTCACGCAACTGTGTACAGCGGTAGATTGAAATATCTTGGACTTTCGAATCCGATGTAAAGATAACTTCTTGGAGAAATTGATTTGGAATGCCGTCAAAGGGAGCACTACTTTTTGTTTCCAACTTCAATTTTTGTAAACGCTTCAGTGATGGAATTTGTGCCAGTAATACTTGACGTACATCATCCTCTGTTTCGTATCTGATCCAAAGATTTTGAAGAGACGGGAACAGACTACTGAAAGATTTACTGCCGGTCGCATATGGCACTGGTTTATGCCACTCATACTCTGGCTTAATACTAAAATTACAACCACGAAAAGAAGCAATGCGTTGACGACGCACACAGTCACGGTACGGTCGTTTGATTTCGAATCCATACAAATCTTTCATATTCCAAAACAGATTACAATCAGTTTTTAATGAAATAACACTTTGAGAGATGAGTGGTCGAACAACGTCCAAGACAGATGGAGCGACATTGCAGAGATCAACATTTTTCATGTGTCTTGCGATTAGAGCAGAAAAACGGGCATTCAATGAATGAAAAGAATAGACAATATGGATTGGCCTGAGATATTCGAAAACCGTTACTATTAATTCATTTGGCATAACGGTGAAGAGTGTTGTTCCTAGAATGAATGATTATCTTTACTTCTTCGGAGTTTTTTTTGCGGAGTGAATGTGTGTACGTACCATCTTCTGGTTTCAATGATGAGTGTTGTTTTGTTAATGATGATAAAATCTCACTCTGATTATCAAGTTTATTACTACTACTCATTTTCTTCTACTGAATTCTTACTACTCGTCTTACTCGACAATAAGATTTCATCATATCACTACGCTTTTTATATACTTTATTTGCTGAGTAAGAGTTGCAGTGCGAGATAAAACGTAGGAACTAGAAGAAAAAGAAAACAAAATTTTCTTTCTGAAAGATAAGACAAACGGTAGTGAAGTTGGTTCTCACGATCGAAGAACAGCAAAACTGGTAGTTATATTGTTGGTTGGAAGCCCCTTTGTTAATACATACTTGGTCGACAAATTATTGTTGACACAGCATTTCGCCAACACGGGATTTCGTCGAAAAGCGTTTCGTCGACTAAGCAGTTCGTCAAACATAAATTCCCAGAAAACTGATCATATCAAGAAAGTTGTTTTTCTTAGAAAGGTAATTTATTTCATGTTGAGGATGTGGGTGTGGGTGTTATGATTGTATCATACCCACATTCAGACTCGCAGCAACACTCTCAACGACTGCCTAAATGTCTCATAATAGCAATAGGAAAGAAAGAACAAAGTGATTATCTTTCGTCGACGAAATGCTTTGTCGATAAAATGTCTTTCGACAAAAAACATAGGATTCTTTTTCTCTATCTTCATTATAAAGAATAAAGAACGCAGTTACCATCACTTCTGCTTCCAGGAGAAAAAATCTGCTTTCTCTTTTTTCTGGGTTTTCTATTTTTGCCTGCTTTTTCAAATATTTTGAACTACGAGTGTTGATTCTAATGAGCCATTATTTCAAAAATATTAGAGAAAATCTTGACAATACTCAAACATGGATGGATGTGACTTTAGCGATGATAAATCCACTTTGAATTTATTATTACAGAAAACATCACAACTCTTTGTAAAACTAACTAAGATTAATAATTTTTTATACTTCAGTTTTTAAATAGAGCATAATCATTCATTAAGAATACCATATGGAGGGTGTGGATTTAGATATAGACTTCACGTCTCTTAAGTCATACCCACACTCACGATGTACTTTGTATTGATTCATATTTTCGAAAGAATTTTCATACGATGAAGTTTTTGCCCATCGTTATTGAAAAAGCTTTCATTTTCTGTCTTATAAATATCTATGCATTCCTGAAAATTATTTTGTAAAATGTTTGCTGTATAATTTTTTTTTAAATTAATAGTTTAGGATCAATATTCAGTTTTATATATATATCGTAGTATTGCATAACGGATATTACAACAACATTTTTACAGTATATGTATTGCACAATTCGAATTTGAAAGTCTTCTTTTGCACTCAAATATTTAACTGTCAAATATTATTGTCTTCAATTACTATTTTGTAATGTGAATCTCTTGAAAATAAAAGCGAAATCAGATGTCGTCACCTCGATAAGTAACACAAGTTGTCTTAGGATTTAGTTTTATACAAGTATCAGATTCCTCTTATGTGAATATATAAAATCAACAACAAAATTTGTTTTTTGATAATGTCATCATGTCCTAACTCATTGTGATTGTTAATTACTCCTTTACATACTATATCTTATTTTATTTTATCTTTTCAATCTCAGAATTTTCTTAGATTTAGATTAAACGTGCTCAATTGAACTAAAGAAATCGATACAAATGATGTAATATTACTTATCTCTTAATAAACCTATGATTTGCATCGTTATTATTGTGCTGATTATTGTTGTATTTGTTTCTACTCAAGGTAAATGAAAATAAAGTAACTTAATATTTTAATAAATAAATAAATAAATACAAATCTGGGGTATTAGTCCGAAATGATAATATTATTAGAATGACTTATACACTATTTGTCCAATCAAGAAGTTTAATATCTACAAATATTTTCTTTTTTTTATCGCTTCTGTGATGTTGTATATAAAAAGTGCAAGACAAGTAATAAAACAGAGTATATATCAAATTGACATAAACATTTTGAAAAAATTTACTTCTATTGCGATTTGATGGCATCCATCAAATTGTTGATTTCTTATTTCCTCTTATGCAGCGCTAGTTTTGTCTCAGGAATTATTTATAATTGTAATCGAACTGCCGACTGTGGATGTTCAAGATCCAATGCCAATGTATATAAAATAGTAGGTGGTGAAGACTCTTATCCATTAAGTTAGGGTTGGGCTGTGTCATTGCAATTTAACTTTATATCTGGCAGACACTTCTGTACTGGATCAATTTTATCTCCATTGCACATCATTACTGCTGCTCATTGCATTGGTGATGATGTGGCGACGTTCATAGAAATAACGAATGTTGTTGTTGGAATAGACCGATTGTCAGAGTCAGAAGATCCACATGCTCACGTGCGATCGATAATTAAAGTGTTCTCTCATCCAGGTTATGATAATATAACAAATGTTCATGATATCGCTGTACTTCTATTAAATGAATCGCTGCCTATTTCTAATGAAATGAACACTGCTCGAATATGCCTACCTCGTTTAGAGACATCAGATAGAAATGTAACATATCCTGTTAATTCAGCATCGCTCGTAGCCGTTGGATGGGGTCTTTTGAATTCTGACGCCCCAGAGATACCATCCGATCAACATCTTCAACAAGTGACAGTAGTATCGGTGTCAGTTGATGATCCACGATGTGAAGAGTTTATTAGTGATACACGCTTCCAGTTTTGTGCTGGCGTGGATGGCGGCGGCAAAGGTAAGAAAGTGCTTATTTTTAATATAATACAAATGTTTTTTATTCACAATTTAGATACATGTCAAGGTGATTCAGGTGGTCCACTCATGCGATTTGAACCTACACAAAAACGATGGGTATTAGCTGGTATCACAAGTTTTGGTTTAGGTTGTGCTGATCCTCGCTATTCTGGTGTATACACACGTGTTTCAGCTTATCGCGACTGGCTCCGCTCAGTTGTCAGTGATGGATTTATTGAATCATTAATTAATCTTGATTCCTCTGCTACTAAAAAGTACTATAATACATACATTGTATTTTTGTCGGTTGTACTGTTCTATTTTTTTTCGCTTTGGATTCAATAAACTAATATAAGACTTTGCTGATATCTTTTTGGTGCAAGAATTTCAACTACAGAAATATGCAATTCTGCTTGAAATTCTTTCAATTAGTCAATTCGAAAAATTCAAAATCTCATTGAAAAGTGTATGCATTCTATAGTGCTTCTTAATATGAAATTTTATTGAGGTTGAAATAGATTCGCCGCCAATCGGATTTTGACTCGGCTAAGACTTTCATCAGGTAAGAATAGCTACTAAAATAATTTATTTGTTTTGATGTTACTATTATCTTATGAGTACAATGATCATAGTACTTATAGATGATTTACATTTTGACTTGTGTGGGTGTGAGGTGGTGTCGGCATCATATCCATCACACACCCACACCCTCAAGATTATAAGTTGTAAAATGTTGAAATATGTATAATTTTGAGTTTTTCTGTCTACGAACAAAATCGATGCATAAATGAAATTGAACTGAATCAAGCTAATATTTATCTTAGACATCTTTTGATTGATTCATGAGAAATGACTAATTATGTATGATTTTTTCAGCTTACAATATTTTTATACTAATGGTATTATTTCATCAAGTTCTAATAATTAAAATATACCTTTAGTTTATAAAGACAACATACTATCTCAAGTCAACATCAATATATATATAATCACTTATAATGTTGCATTTCTTTTAATTTTTATTATTTGTATTGCATCATTTTAATTCATGGTTACTTTTCTTTTTTGCCACGTCTCCATCGACTCCGCCGACCTGTTTTTCTCTTCAACGTTACGTGCTCTTATTATTTTCTTTCATATATTTAACAGAACGCAAGAAAGAAATGCCTTATTTTTCATGGGAACAACAAAGTGCGTATGAGTTGTGCAATAACTATGTGATGCAATGCTTTGCACTTACAAGTATGTATATATAGATAGATTTTTTTTTCTACAATTATATATATTTATAAAGTATGACTACAATCGTTGAGAATAATTTTTCAACATTAAATTCTCTTAGAAATATGGAAATATCTAATAAAACATGTGACATGATAACAAATGAAGATATACAAGCAATTGAATCAATTTATTCATATTGGTTTGGTGAAAATATTAATACATGGTCGAAAAGTTATCCAGTAAGTACACAATTATGGTCTAAAGTCAATGAACAAACAGATCAAGAAATTAGAGATAAATTTGAAAAATATTTAATCGATGCCACAACATCAAATAATAATCTTTATCAACGTTGGAAAACAACTAATCAAGGTCGATTAGCATTAATTATTTTATTTGATCAATGTCCTCGTAATATATATCGTAATACAAAAAAAATGTTTGAATTTGATCCATTAGCTCTTAAATTATCACTTGATATTATTAATGATCCAACATATATAACAACATATAGTTTACCTGAACGATTGTTTATCTATTTTCCTCTTGTTCATTCTGAAGAACTTTCTTATACAACAAAAGGTGCAAATTTAATGAATGATCTCGTTACACAAATAACTCAACGTGATTTACGTAAACGATATAATAAAAATGCTCAAATGGCAAAACTTTATCAAGAAATCATTGAATTATTTGGTCGTTATCCAAATCGAAATCATTTTCTTGAACGTCAATCAACTATAGAAGAAGAAAAATATTTAAAAACAGCACGTAATGGTTTTATAAAACCCATTAAAACTATCAAATCTACTATTGAGAATGAAATGCCATCTCTTTTAACTCAATCAACATCTCCCCTCTTAAAAATACTTGTTCTTCATGGTTTTCGTCAAAATGCGAATAGTTTAAAACGTAGCGCAAAGAAACTCTTCAAAGGATTAAAAAACGTTGCAACATTTTATTTTGCTAATGGCCCATTACCATGTAATACAACAGGTGAAACGAAAGAATCATTATCAAATGCTTTTGACAATGAAAATATGCCTGAAACAAGTTATCAACGACAATGGTGGAATGCATCAACAGATTATAAAACTTATCATCATTTAGATGTTTCATTACATTATATTGATAAATTATTTAAATCAGAAGGTCCATTTGATGGAATAATAGGCTTTTCTGTATGTCATAGAATTTGTTTTTTTTTGATAATTTAATTCTCGTTTTTTTTTATTTAGCAAGGAGCTGCATTAACTGGAATTTTATGTGGTTTACAACCATTTGGAAATATTACATTTAATTTTGCTATTTTAATTTCGGGATTTCCTTCTCGAGCAGAATCTCATGAACAATTAATGCAACCGAATTCAATTAAAAATATACCATCTTTACATATTTATGGAACTAATGATGTTTTAGTTGCTAATGATCGAACATTACAATTAGCCGATGTATTTGAAAATTCTATAGTTTTATCACATCTTGGTGGACATTTTACACCAAATACATGGCCAAGTACTGATATCATACAATTCTTACTTGAACAACAAAAATGTTTATCAAATAAATTGAATATTTCACAAAATCCTGATACATTACAATTTCAATCCTTAAAAACATTTGAAGAAAAACTCAAAGCAACAATTTTCTTTCATCAAAAACAAATCTCAAATATTCCAGCTACTGAACGAAAAAATACAAAAATATCTATTATTCCAATTGGTTTGTCTAAATCATTTGATCAATCAAATATTGAAACTATTATTAATAATAATATCGATGATTATCTATTAGATGATATTATGTTACTTATCTGGTGTGAACGAACAACATTTCATAATAGTGAACCAAATGATAATGATGACAAAAATCCAATCTCATTATTTTTTCGACATTGGATATTATTATATTTAAAAAAATCCGATGAATTGCTTTCATCATATTTTAATTTTATTCCAAAATATGGTAGTTGGGGAGATTTAAAAACTTTATATTTATCTATTTGTCAAATGGAAAATGAATTTATTGATAAGAAAATATTATTGGATAATCTGAAAGAAGAATGTGTAAAAATGTTTGGTGAACAATTAAAACATGATTCTCGTATTATTTTAAATCAACCAGATGAATTAGCAAATGAACAAGAAGAACAAATGAATCTTAAAAATCAAGAATGGATTAGTAATTGTGCAAAAGAAGCTCCACGACTTGCTAGTAATCGTAATAATTTAAGCACAAGTAACTTTTTTTTTCTCATTAATCTTATAAATATTTTTTCAAAATTTTTCTATTTTTAGTTATGGCCAAAGCAATTGCAAAATATATGCGACCAATTATTGATATTAATAATAAAAGTGAAAAAGGTTATGTATATCAAATGTATCGACGATTAATATCAGATATTTGTCATGTATTGAAAAAAGCATCACCAACTTATGTTGATGAACAAGTTAGATTACGAACACGACGAGATCGGGCATTTCAATATACAAAAGAACAACGAGAACAATTATTAAATGCTCCACCTTCAGCCTACATAACAAATCCTGAACCCGAACCAGGTAAATTTATTTTATTTTACTTATTTAGCATTTAACATCTTTTCTATTTCTAAGTTGTTCCATGTTCTTTACAAGACTTACAGCCATTATTAGAACATTTAATATTGAATAAACCTGGACCTGATAATGATAATCAATCGATTGTCTTCTCACGTGGTACAATTATGACAGGTGGACGATTAGATTTATGTAAACAAGTCGTAGGTCCAAAAGGTATAAAACCATTACTCGATGCAATGAAAAATAGTTCAGTAGTTAATCGATTATTATTAGGTTAGTTTATTAAAAACAAATATTTTTACAACGAATTTGTATATGTAATTTTTGTTTTTTTTTAGGAAATAATATTGTTGGTTTACCTGGTGCTCAAGCTATTTCTCAATATATTCGTTTTAATATCGATTCAAATATTGATACATGGTATATAGCTGGTAATAATTTCGACGATGAATGTATGTCATTAATATGTGAAGCATTAGCAACTGATACAAAAGTTAAAGCACTTTGGTTAAAACGAAATCCAATATTACCTAGTGGAGTTATTCATATTGCTCAAATGTTAACAACAAATCATTATTTACAAACATTAGATTTATTAAATACTGGTTTATTAGATGATGGTTGTGAAATATTATTTAATAGTTTGAAATTAAATCAGACATTAAAACATTTGTATTTGGATACAAATGGTCTTACGATTAAAAGTGGACGAATTATACGTTTATATTTCGAACAAAATGAGAATCATTTAGAATCATTATATTTATCATGCAATGCATTAGGTGATGCAGGTACATGTGAAATAGCAGCTGGATTAAAACATGATAAACATCTTAAACGACTTGGTTTAGCATCGAATTGTATTGGTGTTGATGGTGCACGAGCTTTAGTTGACGTTCTGATTGATCATTCATCACTTGTACAATTAAATCTTGGTTATATGAAAGCAACAATTTTACTTGGTGGTTTAGATAATGTTATCGGAGATGAAGGTGCAATTGAAATTAGTCGATTGATTCGTTCTAATCAACATATTCGTTCAATTGATTTAACATTTAATGGGATTTCACAAAAAGGATTAATACAATTAAAAGATGCTTTAAAACAAAATCAAACTTTGACAACATTAAAAATCTTACAATTTGGACAAGTACTTAATGAATTAACTAAAGAAGAAATTAATACAAAAATTGAACAAAATAAAATTGAATGGGGTAAACAAATACTTAACAATGATCCGAATTATACTAATACATCACCAACAAAACCTGAATGTTTGAAAAAAGGTCAAGAATTAAATGATGAAATCAATTTTCCTGAACATGTCATGGAAATAATTAGTTATTATCGAACACATTAAAGACATTAGAATTCAAATCTACTTCATTTATATTCAATAAAACTTTTTCAATATATAAAATTAATCGAAATAAATCTTGAGAGTGTCCATTACTGATCTAAATTCGCACTCTGATAAAATCGACCGGATATATTTAAATATATAGAAAGAATTGGATATGTTTTGTATGAAACTTCAAATAAGACTCTCGATCTAAACACTGAAGAAATGTTTTGATTCTATAAAAGATCTCATCTGTTGGCGTAATATATCTGCACAAAAAGATTAATGATTGAGATTTTCGGTGTGGATGGAGATGTTTTTTACTCATATTCACACCCATTCGTAATATAATAGAACAAGAAATACTGGACATGATTTTGATATTTATTTAAGTACTATTGAGGGTGTGGGTGGTTTATATTTTTATAGAATATAATAATACTTTACCAATATTGGAAACCAGTATATTTAAAAAATATTATAGAACGATAGATGTCATAAGTTAACATGAGTATTTAATTAAAAAAATCTATCCACAAAATATGATTAATTCCTTAATCGATACAAATACTTTTTTTTATAATTGAGAAAGCCACAAGGATACAGGTCTCCGAATGAATTACATCTGCATATGGATATGATGATCTTTCAACTAATCACTTATACTACATTGATACCATTAGAATTAAATCTTTAACTTTACTTCCATAATTTTGTCATTGTGAAAAAAACCATTGAAATTTCCAAGATGACTGAGAAGTTTCCATGTTTTGTCACAAGATTTATTTCTTATTGATATATCTACGGATGTATGGTGAGTAGATGATTCATCTGTTATATGATACTTGATAATGCGTCATGCAGATGATGAAATCATACAGCCACACGTAACAACAGGGAAAAAATACCAACGTATAAAATTCCCTGTATATAATTCGTCATGAATTTTAAAACCATTTTCATTTGGATAAGTAATCATCACTATTCGAATACATTCAAAACTGACTGGTGCAATTACGATGGAGGAAGTTGCTCGATCTCCTCCAGCTGCTACATCTAGAGCTGCTTCATGTGTATATGGTACACCATCGGAAACTGTACCGGCAGATACGCCTACTCTACATGGATCTAGTACATCCTCGACTACCACATCTGGATCATCTACATTTGCTACACCTCCGATTGATATATCTAGAACTGCGTCATCTAGATCGTTTGGGTATGGTACACCATCGGAAACTATGCCAGTAGATACACCGACTCTATCTGGATCTAGTACATCCTCGACTGCCACATTTGGATCATCTACATTTGCTACAGCTCCGATTGCTACATCAAGACCTACTTCATCTGGATCGTTTAGATACGGTACACCATCGGAAACTGTACCAGTAGATACACCGACTCTCTTTGAATCTGACACATCCTCGACTACTGCATTTGATACTGCTTCATATGCATTTGCTACCTCTACACAATCTTCCGCTGCAAATCGTGCAGTACTAGCCACTGAGGTAGAGGCGAATATAAACTATGATGTAACTGAGAATGTAGCTATAAATGAAAGATCAAGCTGAACATATCTATCAAAAATGACAACATCGTAAAAAATAAACATGATATTGCCTTGTTGTATTGTCAGTTAATAGGAAAGAAATCCGATTATTGTAAAAAGAAATTTTTTTTGAATAAAAGATAAAAAAGAAAATTATTTCTAATTATTACTTCATGCTTTTGATCTTTAGGATGTGGATGTGGATATTTTATATTTCTAGAGAATATAATAAAACTCTACTAATATACGAAATCAATATATTCAAAAAATAGTATAGAACGGTAGATGTCATAAGTTAACATGTGTATTTAATTTAAAAAATCTATCTACAACATATAACTAATAAGTTGACAAAAAATATATTAATTCCTTAATCGATACAATTACTTTCTTTCACTGTGAAAGAAAATATTCAAATTTTAAAGATGACTGAAAAGTTTCCATGTTTTTGTCACAAGATTCATTTCTTACTGATGTATGATGAATAGATGACTCATCTATTATGCACACTTACCAATGCGTCATATAGACGATAAAATTACACGAACACACGCAAGAACGAAAAAGAAAACAACAGTATATAAAAGTATCTGCATACAATTTTTTATTGATTTTATAACGTTTTCGTTCGAATAAGAAATTATCACTACTCGAATATATTCAAAGATGGCTAATGCAATTAACATGGAGAAAGTTACTCGACCTGAATTAGCTAAACACGAATCATCGATTTTAGGTAAGTAAATGTTTAATATATGTTATAATAATTATTTCAATGATTGCTTTTTATATATAGATCTTGTTTTTGTTATGGATTGTACTGAATCAATGGGATGGTATATTGCTAGTGCTACAGATAATATACGTTCAATTGTAGAAGAAATAGTTGTCAGCGAAAAAAGTGACATTCGTTTGGCACTCATCGAATATCGTGATCATCCACCTCAAGTAAGTATTAAATTTCGAAAAACAATATTTATCGTAAACATATTGTTTTCTAATAGGATCATACGTTTGTTACACGTGTGCATGATTTTACTGCTAAAGGTAATGAGATGAAAGGTTGGTTACAACAATGTCAAGCAGATGGAGGTGGAGATGGACCAGAAGCTGTGGCTGATGGGCTTCATGCTATTCTTAAACTATCATGGCGTGATGAATCAACAAAAATTTGTATTTTGATTGCCGATGCTCCACCTCATGGACTCGATCCTAATGGCGATGGTTTTCCTAATGGATGTCCTTGTTCTCTTGATCCTGTGCAAACTGTTCGACAAATGGCAGAAAAACACATTACCCTTTACTCTGTAGGTGTTGAACCTTCTATCAGTAAGTATCTAATTCAAGAAATATTTGCTGTTCTTAGTAATTAATCTTTTTTTGTAGCACCATATCGTGAGTTTTTTATGTCATTGGCTTATACTACCGGTGGTCAGTATGTTCCAATGATCAATGCCAAACTTTTAGCTAAAGTGATCATTGGTGGTGTGCGTGAAGAAATTTCCTTAGATCGATTAATGCAAGTCGCTGAAGAGGATATTAATCGTGAAATGGAACGAGCAGAAGCAGAAGGTGTTGATGATAAAGAGAAAGTCAAGCGAATCAACAATATTTTTGCAACGAAAAATCTTTTTTCGACACAAATGACAAATAACTTTGGAATGACGTCAACTTCTGCCAAGGCATATTCTTCAACTTGTCAAACTATGGGTGAAATGCAGAGTGCATTTGGATTTGGTATGCCATCGAAAACTGGACCGGCAGCTACATCTACTCTATTTGGATCTAGTACACCCTCAACTACCGCTCCATTTGGATCATTTGCATCTGGTGCACCATTG